GTCACTAATATGAAAGACCAATGGATTGCCTACCTGCATGACTCAGTTTGGAAGGGAGATGAAAAGTTACGTGCCCATCAAAATTCCATAAATCACATCATGTGGTAACATTATTGAGGGGAGCCAGTCCTCAAAAAAACAACAACAACAACAACAAAAAAACAACCCATGGTGAATCCTTTCTTTGCAAGACACAGAATTCTGCTGGTATATTTGCATCTCAGTGTGTCAGATATATTTAATACACAGCAGAAGAGGATGAAAAAAATGGTGTTTTTAATTCTTCCCTCTTCCCTCCCCCAGTTCTCTTATTATCCCCATCTTTATAACATTTGAATGTTCTATGTTTAATGTTCTCTGCACAGGACTTGGAACTCACTGAGGGAAACCAACCAAGTAAAAAACGGTAGTTGTAAAGTGCTTGGGTGTCCTAGTAAGGCAGAGCGTCAAATAAATCCAGGTTCCTGCTGCTTTACCAGCCAGGAAACTCTGAACTTGAGAGAGAGACACAACTGCTCCCACAACCTGCTCATGTGTCTCCTGCGCCCCAAGCCCGTCGGGACTTCTGTGTCCCATGAGCAAGCCTCTCAAATCCCCAGGCCTCAGTTTCCCCGTTGGTCAGATGGACTTTCTCTGTGCCCTTGGGAAATGATTTGCAGGTAAAAGAATCCAAAGAGAGCTGGAGAGGACATAAGGCCAAGACTCCCTCTGTCAATTCCTTTACTGGGTAGAACACGGGTGTCCGTTTACATGTCTGTTCTGATAATGGGACCGCCCTTATGTCTCCAGGTGTACCAGCTGCGGTGGCCCAGAGTAGAAAGAGACAGCTTTGGAGACAGGTTCCAATTTCAGTATCTACGTGACCTTGTGAGTTCTTTCAACTCCCCAAGGCTTCATGTCTTCATCTTAAACATCAGGTGGTTAATTCTGCCGTGGACATTGCTGGATATATGTGAACTACGAAGCCCGGGGCCTGGAAGAGAGGAAGGCCTTTTTGAGTGGGAGGGGCTCTGGTGATTATTACCGGGCCCCCAAGTCCTCAGTGCTCGGCACAGAGTACTCAACAAACACCTGTCAAGGGCACTGGTGAATGGGTAGTTGACTCACTGGGTCTACTGTCAGCCAACGTCAGCATTACAGCCCAATGAAGAGCCTCAGCCCATTCTTGTTATGTGTTCCAGATAAGACCAAGCACATTTTCTCCTTCTCCTTTTTCTCCTTTCTCTTCCCCTTCTTCCAATCAATCTACCCCTTTAAGCATACGCAAGACCAGAGGACTGTATGTTAAAACAAAGATACCGAATGTGTTCTTGGGGAATCTGGTCTTGCAAGGGGCCGCGGATCCATCCACACACCCCAGTCACTGAATCTGAGCAATCCGTTCACATATGTGGAGTGTGTCCGGTGGCCAGTCATCCTTGGAGTTCAGAGTCTGGTGATAAGTAGAGCACGACCCAGCAGGTGCTGGAACAGGTGTTAAGTACCAGGGAATGGGAAACACGGCAGGAAAAAGAGGATTTCTCCCCGGGACGGACAGGGAGATCATGAGAAAGGACTTTGCGGTGGGAGCTATTTAAGCCTGGGAGGATAGGGATGGGGGAGGAAGAGGAGGAGAGGGAGGGGGAGAAGGGGTAGCTGTGGTAGGAGTTTTCTAAGAAGGAAGAGGAGAGGGGGAGGCGAAGAGGAAGCAGACGCGTCGTGGGAGCAGTTTTCCAGGAAGAGAAGCCAGAATGGGGAGAGCAGCTCCCCTGCACGGGAGGCAGATGGGTAAAGCCCAGAGCAAAGCTTCCTGGTCTATTTGGGTAACAGTGAGTAGTTCAGGGGGGCTGAAACGTGGGCCAGGGAACGAGTAACAAGAGACAGTCTAGAAAGCTGACAAATACTTACTGAGTACTTCATGTGTTCGGGGCAAAGGTAACATTTGCTAATGTCAGGAACTGGATGGAGGAAAAGCACCAGAGACAATACCATGGGTGGCCAATCTCCTCCCCAGCGGCCGGTGAGCCCGCAGGTGGGCGGCCAAGTGAGCAAGGCAAGAGCAGTCAATGACTAGTGGCTCTAGCATGGGCTGCCACCAGCCCGGCCACCTACTCGCGACACCCCCTTGGGGCCTCCTTCCCCATATGTGAAATGAGCGGCTTGGAGAATGGGATCTTCAGAATCCTTTATTGCTCTAAGAGAAGACGACGGTCCCTCCAAGTAATACAGGGTGGGAGAGATGGGGTGGGGTCCCCTTCTGAGCATTTATTAACTTGTGGCTCCCACAGTCATCACTCAGAGGACCCAGAGGGACAGAAGCAAAATCAAAAGACGGATGACTGAAGGGGGCTGACATATGTGTGAGAGTTTGGGGAATTTATGCGGGCAGCCTCACGGTCATAAATAAAATCCCTTTCTCTTACCCAAAACCTCATTCGGGGGGTAAACACCGGGCACCGTAACAGACAATTTGGCTGGATCTCCCACCCCGCACCTCACTTGAATGAAAAACAGCAGTGCCCGGGCAGCGGAATGGGTTCGGCCGCCTCTGTGCAAACATCCATATTGTCACCGGCAGAGGAGCAGGGCTGAGGACGGAGCAGGCAGGACAATTCATCTCTGAGATTCCTCATCCTTTCTACAGCCTCGCTCTCCCCGCTATCTCTCCTGAGGCTGAGGGGTTTGGAAGGAACCCCGGAAAGCACCAAATGCAGGGAGAAGTGACCCCTGGAAAGGGGCGAGGGTAACCGCACCCCTCCCTTTCCCGTGCGCCTCTGGGGGCCGCGGGAGACACCAGCCCCACCAGCGTCGGTCCGGCCCATTGTGCTCAAGGCTGCCTTGCTGCCAGGCTTAGCTACTTGTTTTCTTGACCTACTTCTCTTCCCCTCCCCGCCCCACTCCAGATCCCCCCTGGAGCCCACAGTAATTAGCACCTTTCTGTTCATTAGGTTCAGGAGACTTGAAAAACCTCCTGGCTCCCAGGATAACCAAGGAGACGGGGGAAATGGGTCCCGGCATTGCGGCTTTTGGTTTTGCCTTTCTTTTCTGTCCCTCTGTTGGCTTCACTCTGCTTCCTGGCCTCTGTGGGAGAGGAGGCCCGGTTTGAACTTGCCAGCCAGCAGGGCGCCTGGCTGGAGATGGGCTGAAAGTGGCCTGGCGTGAACCAAAACAGAGGGCCAACAGCGTCTTGATAGCACTGGACAAGCAATGCTCCAGGAGTGGGTGCGGGAGCAGGAGGGGTCCCTTTGAAGCCCTCCACTGTCAGCGTCACAGCCAAGAGAGGGATCTGTCAGCTCCACTCTCTGCTCCCCTCCTGGAAAACCAGTGTCAGGAGAGCCAAGGCCATGAGGCGCTGCCTTTTCTGGCTCAATCCCTTTCCGCTTCCCATTAGCGACAAATGGAAATTGATGGGTTACCGCTTTATCTGCTCATTTAGAGGGGGAGAGAACCTCGCAGCAAACGCTGAATAACTGTAGGCATCTTATAAATTAAGCATCTTAAGGATACGAACCGTTTTGCATTGCTCCTAAGCAGAATTAAATTAGGTTTTGAAGTTCGGTAAAAACAAATGGGGAGAGGGAGGGAAGATTTTGTTTTTAATTCCTTGCCTTAAAGCATGCAGAGTGGTGAGCTGAGGGCAGGGTGAAGGGAAGAACGAAGTCACCTGTCTGCATTTCTGATTCCAATCAGCCACTGTCGCATATGCATGGAGAAGTGGGCCCAAGAGTCCACACGGGGCAGCCCCGAGACCTGCAGCTTGGCTTCTGGCCAACGGTGTGGGCCTAGCCAGGGTCGCAGCTTCTGGCCTGCCTCTGCCCACCCGGGGCCTCCTGCCCACCACCAGCAGGCCAACCTCTAGGACTCTGGACCAGTCCTGGTTGCAAGCGGCTTAAAAGCCAATCTCCTAGGACTCAGCGTCAAGATACCTTCCTTCTTAATCAGCCTCTGACACTTTTAAGTTCAGGTCTAGGATCTAGGATCCTGCCTTGTTGGCAGTATCCACTTGCCCCACTCCCCACCCCAGTCTGGGAAGAGGGGCATCACTTGGGTACCTATCTGCAGAAGCTACCTAGGTTTGAGTCCTTCTGGGGCTCTTGTCTCACCTTGCCCCAGGGGTCCTGATGTTAATTCAGCCTTCCTACGACCAACAGCCCATCCGCCTAGGCTTCTCACTGCTGTACCCCAACCCACCTGTCCACACTGACCCCGTTCCCCATATACACACAATCCCCCAATCCATGACAACCCACATCAGTCCTGGGCCATCAGACGGCCCAACCGCACAGTGCACACTGGCATAAACTCTCCTTGTCCCTGCCGTCGGGGCTGTTTCCATATGACCCACATTAGCAGTGCCCAAGCCTGTAGGGAATGAGGCTCACACTGTCGTGGGGAAGAAGAGGCACCGGGCTTCCCAGGCACTCCTGCATTCCCAGGGGAGAAAGGCCTTGCTCCGGGACCAGGGCCGCTGCTGGGGCAGGGAGCAGCACGGCCTGCCTGCCCCTAGAGTGGGTGTCCCCCCAGCAGCAAGGCCAGGGAGAGAATGTGGGCCACTGCAGCGGCCTTGCGTCCCTCTCTAGAACCAGGCCAGGGAGAACCGACACACCATGTCAAGGGCCCTGCCAAGCAGCCGGCCAGGGCCCCCCGAGAGGTCTCCCTGACTAGATCTGAGGCACACTCTCCAGGAAGCCTTCTTGGATTGATCAGAGACCAGGAGAGGTGATCTCTTCCCTAATCCCAGCCCTGGATTTAAAATCCCCACAGCCATTCCCACCCTCCTGCTTCACCCTTCGTGTGCCAGGCCGAGTCCGCCACAAACCGTAACAGGGACTCCGCGTCTCTGTTCTCCCCACAAGGGGGCTGGACAGACTGACCGCCGGCAGGATCCGAGCTGTGAGCCCGGCCCACCCCCACCGCTAGCCCAGCTGAAAACTCAGGGAGGGCACAACGCACGAGATTGCCCCCACGAACACCTGGGCTCCGGGCGGGGGCATCCCCCAGAGCTGGGCTGCCCCACTTACCAATTCTCAAGGAGTGCGGGCTGCAGGCGACCATCACTAGCCACGCGGGAAGCAGCACCAAAGGCGCCGAGAGGCGGGGCATCTTCTATAAATCCTCATGGAGCCCTCTGCTGGTCTGGGCATGACATAACTCTGCGGGAGAGCGGCGGGAGGGAGCAGGTGAGTCTGACGCCCCTGCCAGGTAGCCACCCACCCAGCCCTGCCACCAAAGCTGCCCCGTGGGGAGGGCTCGCCATTCCCTGCGGAACCACTGGCAGGGAAACCTCCAGGCCAGCTCCAGGCCAGCTCCTTGGTCCTTGCTACCAAGGCCAGGCCCACAGAAGGCTCATGTTCTAACCCCAGCCCCCCGATCCAGCTGAGGGTTTGGGGGAGTAACTCTGACCGAATGATGTAAGGTGCTCCACGGTTCTGAAATCTCTAACTGGAATGAAAACCCTCATCTGCTCTTAAGAAACAAGAGCCATGAGTGAGCCGAAGAGGAAGGGGTGGCGAGACTATGCCATTGCCCCAGAGACATGCTGTATGCCCTGCTCTGCTCACTGGGGAGCGGCGTGGGGAAGGGGCTGGGTTCAAGTCCTGATCCTCCACGTGCTAGCGAGGTGGCCTTCAGGAGGACGGTCCTGGACCCCTCAGCTCAGTTTCCTCACAGGTAAAACTAGCCTGGCATCTCTCATGTGGGAGAGCCAAACCACAGACCGAGATAACAGGGGAAAAGCAGCTGCACTCAGGCCTGGCCTAAAGGATGAACTACACACCATCAGTCCCTCCCCGGCCCAGATCGAGAGGTCCATTCTCAGCAAAAATGGAGGGTAGAAGCACACAAACCAGGTCATCAGCTGGTTTCCGCATCTGCTCCTGCTACCTGCTGGAAATGACCCCCCTCCCCACACTTTCTCCACCAATCTCCATTCCTCCTGGGGCCAAGGGGCCTGATGTCAAAAGAGAGACTTGGAGGGGACTGCCTCCCCTGAGACAGCATGGGTACTGTCCCCTCCCTGAGACCACCAACACCCTGAGAACAGAGTCTGCAGCCTGCCAACCATACACCATCAGTGGGGTCAAGGCAGAGCTAGTAAGCACCTGGATATGCTAGCCCCTGGTCACCATTGATTAGGAAAGTAGTATTAAAATTATTCCTTCCCCCACCCAATCCAGACAATCCAACAGAAAAATGGGCAAAGACTAGAACAGACAGTCCACTAATAACTGCATCCAAAAGCCTATAAACGTTGGAAGAGGGTCTCAGCATCCCTGGGCATCAAAAAATGCGACTTCAAACCATAGTAAGAAACCACTATATACCCACCAGAATGACTTTTTTAAAAAGACAGTATCAAATGTTGACAAGGATGTGGAGCAACTGGAACTCTCGTATGGTGTCAAGGCAAGTGTAAGTTGATAGAACGGATTTGAAAAACCGCTTTATGCTCCCGGAACCCAGAGCTTTACCGGTACCATAGGGACCCTGTAACCCCACAATAAGCCTATCTCCAACAGAATGTATGTGCTCAGATGTCTTAGAGATGTATTAGAATGTTCATGGCAGCACTTTGCACTTCCCCAAACTGGAAACTACCCAGCTGTCCAGCGGCAGAACAGAGAAATACAGCGTGTATCCACACAACAGAATGTTCCATTGAAATGAAAATTAATCATCAACAACCACGTGTTGAGATTCAGGATGAATCTCATGAACATAATTGGACCAAAAGAAACTAGGAACAGAAGCATACATGCATACATACAACACGATTCTTTCTATAAAAAGTATAAAAAACTTGGGTGCTTAGGTGGCTCGGTCAGTTAACTGTCTGCCTTTGGCTCAGGTCATGATCTTGGAGTCCTGAGATCAAGCCCCTCATCAGGCACCCTGAGGCAGGGAATCTGCTTCTCCTTCTCCCTCTCCCCCTTCCCCCTGTTCCTGCTCACTCGTGCTCTCTCTCAAATAAAATAAATTTTTTTAAAGAAATGTAGCATAAAAAACTGTTAGAAGCCTTGCTGGTGGGTACCCTTGGGGTAACAGGAAGGGGCATGTGGGGTCTTCTGGGAGTGCTGGCAATGTCCTGTTGCTTACTCTAGGTACGATCCTGAAGATACAGCACCAAGGCCCCCTGCCCAGCAAGTGTGTTCAGTTTGTGAAAACTCCCTGAGCTGTATACTTAGGATTATATTCACTTTTCTGTGTGTGTGTGTGTGTGTGTGTGTGTGTTGCACACTTCCGTAGTCTTTGTTTAAGCATCACACACTTGATGTTCCAGCCACACCCAGCACCAGGCAGCTCCCTGTACACCCCTGGTTCCCTCTGCCTGATGCTCCTCTCCCCGACCCCTGCCATTTGCCAGAATCCAGAGCCCCTCTATGTGCCGCTGTGACAGCCTATGGTGATTCTTACAGCATTTTCTCCCATTGCTGGGAGAAATAAAATATTTCTATTTATTTTATTTCTCACATTGCCATGTTCCCACACATGGAACCAGTGTGGGCTTAAGGTCAAGGACAGGTGCCAGCCTGCTGTTGATTCCCCAGTCTACTTATACACAACAGGTGTGCAGGACGAACTTGTTAGATAAATAGAAGGGCTCAAGCAATCACCTGCTATTGGGATTAAAGAAAGGTAAAGGACTGGGCGCCTGGGTGGCTCAGTGGGTTAAGCCTCTGCCTTCAGCTCAGGTCATGATCTCAGGGTCCTGGAATCGAGCCCCACATCGGGCTCTCTGCTCAGCAGGGAGCCTGCTTCCCTTCCTCTCTCTGCCTGCCTCTCTGCCTACTTGTGATCTCTGTCTGTCAAATAAACAAATAAAATCTTAAAAAAAAAGAAAGAAAGAAAGGTAAAGGACTAAAACAAAGGCAACTCTGCTGTTGGCAAATCAGGCCCAGAATCTCCGTCCTATCATTCATGGATGTTGATGCAAGGACAGATTACAGCACACACAGTCTCAAGAGAAGCCTGACATTCTTACTCGCTATGGATAAAGTTGATTGTCCAGTGACGGTCTCCCCACTGGAATGCAAGCTCAAACAAAGGGGGTGGGGCAAGGAGCAGAAATCTTGTTCGTCTGTCTCCTTGGGGCCCAGAACAGGGCCTGGCATATATTACAGCCTCAATAAATATGTGTTGAATGGATAAATGAATCAGCTGTCAAAGAGGAAAGAACTGTAAAAATCTGGTTAGGCTGTATAAAAGCAATACTAACTATAATCATTTATGTCAAATGCCTTCCATTTATGCCCGATCAGCACGCCGCTCGGTAATTATTATTCAGACTGCTAAAGAGGTGTCAGATTAGCCTGTGCAAATTCTATTTGATGACACAACTACACTCCTTCCGTGCAGGCCTGCCTCCCGTCGTTCATGCCATGAAGCCTAGCTGACTCTGGAGACCGCACATAAGGACAGCAAGGACGGAGGTCCTGGGCTGCTCTGGGGCCTCGACTGTATGATCTGGGGCACAGAGATGAGAAATAATCTCTTCCCAAACCTTACAGGAATCTAAAGAACCATGGTGTTTCATGATTGTAAGGCTCGTTGGTTTGCAAAATTCTTTCCACCGTCTCTTTCTGCTTTAATCCACAGGACAATCTCAATCACACCAAGCAAGCGGAGTCCAAGAAAGGGGAAGGGCCTAGCTCAAGGTCACGCAGCCATCAGGAGGCAAAGCCCCAGACAGCCAGGTCTCTGACTCCACTGGCCTTTCTTGTATAGCTTTACTGTTTGTACATAAGAACAAGAGAGGAAGCTTGCAGATTCTTCATCAAAAAGCACAAAGAAATCTGAGGTCTTATTTTCATTTTAATGTTTAGATGAATCTGGTCTTAGAACCAAAGAGGGCAGCCTTTATCAACTAAAAGTATCTGAATAATTTAGGGAGGAAAAAGAAACGATCCTGAAGATATAGCACCAAGGTCCCCTGCCCACTAACCCTCCTCCACAGCAGATTCTTCATCAAAAAGCACAAAGAAATCTGAGGTCTTATTTTCATTTTAATGTTTAGATGAATCTGGTCTTAGAACCAAAGAGGGCAGCCTTTATCAACTAAAAGTATCTGAATAATTTAGGGAGGAAAAAGAAACGATCCTGAAGATATAGCACCAAGGTCCCCTGCCCACTAACCCTCCTCCGCTCCAGGCCAGCTCCTTGGTCCTTGCTACCAAGGCCAGGCCCACAGAAGGCTCATGTTCTAACCCCAGCCCCCCGATCCAGCTGAGGGTTTGGGGGAGTAACTCTGACCGAATGATGTAAGGTGCTCCACGGTTCTGAAATCTCTAACTGGAATGAAAACCCTCATCTGCTCTTAAGAAACAAGAGCCATGAGTGAGCCGAAGAGGAAGGGGTGGCGAGACTATGCCATTGCCCCAGAGACATGCTGTATGCCCTGCTCTGCTCACTGGGGAGCGGCGTGGGGAAGGGGCTGGGTTCAAGTCCTGATCCTCCACGTGCTAGCGAGGTGGCCTTCAGGAGGACGGTCCTGGACCCCTCAGCTCAGTTTCCTCACAGGTAAAACTAGCCTGGCATCTCTCATGTGGGAGAGCCAAACCACAGACCGAGATAACAGGGGAAAAGCAGCTGCACTCAGGCCTGGCCTAAAGGATGAACTACACACCATCAGTCCCTCCCCGGCCCAGATCGAGAGGTCCATTCTCAGCAAAAATGGAGGGTAGAAGCACACAAACCAGGTCATCAGCTGGTTTCCGCATCTGCTCCTGCTACCTGCTGGAAATGACCCCCCTCCCCACACTTTCTCCACCAATCTCCATTCCTCCTGGGGCCAAGGGGCCTGATGTCAAAAGAGAGACTTGGAGGGGACTGCCTCCCCTGAGACAGCATGGGTACTGTCCCCTCCCTGAGACCACCAACACCCTGAGAACAGAGTCTGCAGCCTGCCAACCATACACCATCAATGGGGTCAAGGCAGAGCTAGTAAGCACCTGGATATGCTAGCCCCTGGTCACCATTGATTAGGAAAGTAGTATTAAAATTATTCCTTCCCCCACCCAATCCAGACAATCCAACAGAAAAATGGGCAAAGACTAGAACAGACAGTCCACTAATAACTGCATCCAAAAGCCTATAAACGTTGGAAG